GTTTTGGATCTGTCAGGAATCCTTTGGTCCTTATTAATTCCTGAATATTCAGGAAGTAAGAGGAGAGGCATGCCTTTCCTGGGGCTGAGGAATCCAGGCATTTCCTTTGTTAGTTTCTCATTATGGTGCTAAGCACCCTCTTCTCTCTCTGATAGGGATCACCTTGTGTTTTGTAAGTCTGGAATTTTAAATCTTTGCTGAGAATAGCTACCTTGTAAGACAGTATATATACCCACACCATGTTGATTAAAACACCTTTGCTCCATCAGAGCTTGGGTCCCTGTGTCTCTCTCTCTCTATTTTATTTCTATCTCTATTTCTGGCTGATTCCCTGGAGCGTGAAAGCCGGCTAAATAACCCAGGGAATATTAGCCTCTTTCCTTCTTTCACTCTCTCATCATCGACTCCGGACCACCACGTTCCGGTCCAATAAAGGACCAACAAGGTTAGACATAGGACTATGCTAACCAATAAAATATGAATAAAAGCAGTGGGTATATTTTCCGTGCCAACATGAGCAATCATCCATCATGCCTTCTTCCCTTTTCTCTCTCCCCTGTGTGGATGATAGTTAAAAAAAACTCCAAAATGTCAATGCCCCATGATCAAAGAACTTTGGAAACCCAAGTCAACTTTTGGATTAGGACAGCCCAGGAATACACCTGGCACTGGATTCACGTTAGTTACTTTTATGGTGTCAAGCCCCTGAGATTTCAGAGTTAGAGAAGAATGACTCATTCACTCCTGATCATCCAGAAATTTGAATAGGTGTTCTTCTGTAACAAAACCATAATATATGTGGCAGCAATCAGCAAATATTGCATAGGGCCAGCTTATAAATATTTTAGGCTTTGAAGCCACTATGGTCTCTGTTATAACTGCTCAATAATCCTATACTCAGCCATAGATAGTTCCAACACCATTTTACTTACAACAGGCCAAAGGCTGGATTTGGCCCATAGGTAGTTATTTGCTGAACCATGGCTTACAATGTGAAAAGGAAATTGATAATGAAGGATAGAGATGCGGTGATCCATGTTATACCACAACAAAACTTCTAGCAAAACTGTTGCTGCCATGATATTAGAGGTCAACCATGTGCCTAGTGGGTTTGGAGATCTAGCAGAAGTGATTTTAAAATCCTAGCACTAAGGATATGCTTGCTAATACTAAAAAATGAGTTAAAAAAAAAAAAAAGCAGGCAGGGGTCATTCAGCAAGTCAACAGGAAAAGTATCAGACTTTAGAAGAAATGGAAGAGTGGAATATTTTCAGACTCTAACCAAAGAGATTAAATGCTAAAGGCTCCAAGCAAAAAAGAGCTGTAAAAGACCCTCACTTGCATAAAGTGAATAAGGGAACACAAAACCAGAGTAGAAGAGTGGCCTGCACAGGCCACTTCTGGGCTGGGGGGGCAACAAGGGACCAAAAAGCACAACTGAACTGGCCGGAAGCACAGCTTTCCTAAATCCAAGAGATCTGTATTGCCAAGAAGAAAGCTTTGGGATGGCTACAGACAAAGGAGATTGTCGAGGAAAAATCGCCTTGAATCTTTTTCTAGAGGTTTAAATTCTCTGTCCATCTATGAAAAGACTATAGGCAAAATCGCACCTTTAAGGTCACCTGAAGATGGAGGATGTAAACTTACTGTTAATAAGAAGAGAAAGAGCATGGGATGATCAGCGCCACAGCACCAAACGCTCTCAGTCATCCCCACGCACCTCGGTGCTCCATGACAAGGAAAGAAAAAAAAAAAAAAAAAAAAATGGAAGAAACACAAAGGAAGGACACTTGCTAAGGAGCCTGAGGGTGAGTTGAAGCAACCAGAGAAAAAGGGAATCTCTGAAGGGGGACAAACAAAAATCGGGTCACACAACAAACCTCCAGGAAGGGACTGCAAAGTATTTGCTCTTAAAGAGCCAAACAGTATAAAAAGAGAGAGGTTCAGGATATAAAGAGATACACTCCATTTCAGGCATTCAATTTAAAGAGGTAAATTGCTTCATGGGGCAAGTTTTTTAATCAGGAAACGTGACTCTAAATTTCATGGAATAATCAAGGGAACAAGATGTTAATGTCTGTTCATTAGTGGGGTATTCCCAAAACTAGTTCACTACTTCAGCGACCACGGTTTTAAATTGAGCATTAATGTCTTTGGGGAAGACAGAATATTTTTTCATTATTTAGATGTGTTTCCTTACCTAAGACTTGTGTGTGGAGGGGAGGTAGGGAGAGCATGATTCTAAAAATGTCTTCCAAACACAGCTTCTGAAGAGGTACAGAAACCAAAGAAAGGAGAGAGGTCTGTTAATTGGGTGACAGAAGGGGAAACAGCAACAGAAAGTGGAAAATATAAAGTGACGAGAATTGATCAACCTCTCCTCCATCATCAAAACCAAACAACGACAACAACAAAACACTGCTGAGTTATTGTCTTTGCTAGGTTAACAGAAAACGGTGCCATTAAAATAAGAATCATATAAAATATCTAGATATCATTCAAAATGAAAACAAAGTCCACAGAGATCTGCTACATAAAAATCAGTAAAAAAAAGAAAAAAATGCAATTTAAATGAGGCATCTTCCCCAGTCCCACATATATGAAAACATCAACCCAAAGAAAAAGTCCTAATCTACACACTGAACAGAATTAAAAATACTGAAATGAGCATTTGAACACATGAAAAGCTACTTTGGATCAGAAATCAAAAATCAAAATGAATTTTCTAAAAAACCACAAGCCTCACCCAACTTAATTACAACTGTGAAATTTTCAAAAAAGGATAGATAGCAAGCATTTCTTTAAAATATATGAATAATATATGAATATGCTCATAAAGGGAGAGAGGAGTGGGAGATTACCATATACTTTTTAATTGAAATAATATTTACATCTAACATTTTATTATTTTCAGGTATAAAATATAATAATTCAACATATACATATATTGTGAAATGGTCCCCACTATTAGCCTAGCAAACATTGACCACCTAACATAGTCACAACTTTTTCCCACTATGATGAGAACTTCTAAGATTTACTCTCTTAGCAGCTTTCAAATATGGAATATAGTATTATTAACTATAGTTGGCATGCTGTACTTCACATCCCTAGAACTTATTTTCTAACTAGAAGCTTGTACCTTTTGATTATCTTCATGTTGTATATTTTGATAACAAGTAATGCAATTAAAAATTGAGAGAAGGGAGAGGGAAAAAGAAAATCACAAAAAAACTCATTGTTAATAGACAAAAAGTAGATATTTAAGGCCACCTCCACCAAAAAAATAAAAAATGGTAAAGCAAAGAGTAAAAGGTTAAATAAGAGGGAATTAAAGTCACTAGAGGAGATCCCAGTACCTAAATAGCCCTTGACAAACCATTCAACCTTCTTCAAAACCCAGTTTTGTAAAAAGAGACAGTGCACATCCTGTAGATAAAGAAACATAGCAAATAAAACAAAAGGCCCATAATTATAAACTATGATGCAGTTGAAAACTAAACCAATCAGTACTACAAATGAGTGTGAATGAGCTTAATTAACCCTCCAGCATAAAAGAAGAAAATAAATTTGACACACAAAAAATATGATCATATATGATCCAACCATCCCACTCTGGGGCATATATCCAGACAAAATTATAACTCGAAAAGATACATACACACCTATGTTCGTTGCAGCACTATTCACAATAGCCAAGACATGGAAGCTGCCTCAATGTCCATTAACATGTGAATGGATAAAGAAGATGCACTACACGTATGCAATGGAATACTAGTCAGTCATAAAGAGAACAAAACAGCGTCATTTGCAGCATCATGGATACAACTAGAAATTATCATACTAAGTGATGAGAGTCAGAAAGAGAAAGATAACTACCACATGATATAACTTATATGTGGAATCTAAAATATGACAAAATGAACATTTCCACGAAACAGAAACAAACTCACAGAGAGCGAACAGGCTTGTGGTTGCCAAGGGGAAGAGGGTGGGGAAGGGATGGAGTGGGAGTTTGGAATTAGCAGATGTAAACTATTCCATGGAATGGATAAACAACAAAGCCTTACTGTGTAACATAGGGGATCATATTCAATATCCTGTGATAAACCATAATGGAAAATAATACGAATATATATATGTAACTGAATCATTTTGCCAATCAGAAAAGTTAACATATTGTCAATCAACTATAGGTCAGTAAAATAAATTTTAAAAATTAAACACATGGTCATAATATTCCCAGTATTTAAAAGGAAACTTGTTGGTAAGATTTGACAGAATGAATTTTATAATATATAATCAAAAATTCCCCTTTTGTTTTCCCACAGAGCATTTTAATTGCAATTTCTTAATCAAGAAATGTCACCTCACTGAATTTCACAGAGTCATCAAGGGAACAATAAGATATTGCATGCTCATCAGTGGGGTATTCCCAAGCTAGTTCAGCAGCCACTATTTTCAACTGAACATTGGTGTCTCTGGGGTGGGGGTGGGGGGACAAACAGTTTTGATTTATTTAGACATATTTGCCTGTCTTATCCAAGACTTGTGAGATTCAGTCTCCATATGTCCCTTCACCTCTCCTTCTGCACCAAGCCCAATCACAAATGCTCTGTGTCTGTTATTTATCTTCCTAATCTAGTTATATATGTCCTCCCATCTGTCATTAAAATAACACAGTCACTTAGCCTTCTTTTTCAGCTGTGCCTTGGTCGCACTGGCGTTGGTCTTATAATCATCCTGGTTTTCTTTACTTTATCTGAACTCTTAGAAAATGTGCTCACACCATTTGCCACGTTAAAAGGTCAACCAGCTCTATCTTCCTATAAAGGACAACAGTTAATCCACAGGCAAAGACAAAGAACTCTGCTATTAATACCATTCCCAATGCCAGCACTGAAGGTGTACTTTTACATCGTGTCATATGGAAGGATGCAACAATGGATAATGATCGTGAGCTGTAAATCATGGTTGCCATCATTCGTCATAAGAGATAGTGACTACATGGGTGGATCATCTCAATCTTATCCACTGACTAAGAAGCTCCTCAGAAAGACCATATAAAGATGAAAAAATAAATTTGAAAGTATGTTAGGACTCATGCAATAGATACTCTTGGGCTTAGGTATACCCTATTTCCTTTTAGAATTAGGACTCCAAGAAAGAAAAAAATCTACAATTTCTTTTTCATTAGTAACTCTGGGAGATTTTGATCGTAAAGACACATGAGCATATACCTGTTAACATAGGGCAACATCAAAAGAGGGTGAGGCATTCTCCTTTTGCATGGAACACAGCGGAGCACAGGAAGGATGCCACGTTACACAACTCCAGGGCAACTGAGCAGCTGTATTTTGTGGCCTTCCCGAGTCCTAGGCACTGATGATTTAGCAGGAATGTAAAAAGGTCCAGTGGCAGCCAGACCCGTCAAGAGAAGAGCAAGGTTGATACAGGTGGTGCTGCCGGGCAGGGCCCCAAGGTACCCATCTAAAACTGGAGCGCCAAACAGATACCTTGGCTCCAGATTAAGCTGTGCACCTACAATATGGACATTTATACAGATCCTTCTGATTTTTAGATGCTCATGAAATATAACTGTCAGCATCTGCCACCCCCTGCCGCTTCTTGGGCTTAAATGATTAACTCACCCTGGCAAAATGTTTCTTCAAGTCAGTTCTAATTCGCATGTAAATGGCAGCATACAGGTTAGCAGCAGCATGTGGAAAGCTGGGCAGAAGATCAAGTTCCTTCTGATGAAAGCCTAATGGTACCCTCCAACCCCAGAGGAAATCAATTCCAAGTCAGCGGTGTGAACTGATGTGTTTAATGAAGCTGTCACTGATGTTGTCAGAAGGACGTGTCAGTCATTAGGATGCTGCCACCTTTCCTAGATACTGCAGATGATTTTTCTAAATATTTCCTGGACTTAAAGGGGAATAGTTTTCCAAATGTTAACTGTTACTTGCAGTTAACCTTGGATACCTAAGATTTTTGAATAAAATTAATTCAATGAGATTATTTTATGTAAAGCATCCAGGAGACCTGGAAAATGCAGGTAGTTGACCACAAAAGTCTCTTCTATTTTCTTCATTTAATACTGAATTCTTTAAGTATGCCCACATAATTCACTTGCATGGCAGAGATCTTTCACTTTATTAGTTAGTCTTTATATTTTTATTTGGGCTTCCCTGGTGGCTCAGTAGTAAAGAATTTGCCTGCCAATACAGGAGACGCAGGTTTGATCCCTGGGTCGGGACGATCCCCTGGAGAAGGAAATGGCAACCCACTCCAGTATTCTTGCCTGGGAAATCCCATGGACAGAGGAGCCTAGCTACAGTCCATGGGGTCACAAAAGAGTTGGACATAACTTAGCAAAAAACAACAACAATAACAATATTTTGTTTTAAAAGCCTTGGTAAAATGCCTCATATTTCTCTGAATATTCTCAAGTCTTGGATTGTCCCATTCGTCTTCCTGATATTTCACAGCCAAATTCAGTATAATTTATATAGCCCTTTGTGAAGGTTTCCATTTCATGAGTATGTATATTCTAAGAAAAACTAACAACTATTAACTATTCATTAAATGGCACTTTTTAAAACATCCAAATTTATACTGAGTGAAGATATTTTTCCCAAACACTTTAGGAAGTAGGGGAAGGATTTATAGAAAAACAAAAAGGCTGGATGAAGAAGGAATGAGGGCAGTGTCAGGGCTTCTCTGAAGGCTATTAAAACCTTTATGGACTTGTATTGCAGCAGCAGCATCTTGTGTTACTGCATAAGGCATGTCATCCTTAAGAATTCTAAAGCACAATATTTAGTTCGCAGGTATCTGAATAGATCTTGATGTCTTAACAGTGAAGCCCTCATGATACCAGTCAGTGTTCAAAGTATCTGTAATTCACTTGGGCTGGTAATACTAATATATTTGCCACTTCCAGTAAGCAGAAATGAATGCTCATTAGCTCTCCAGATCCAAGGCGTCCTGTCTAGGTTTGAATTCTGACTCCACTGGTTAGTAGAGAAATACATTAGCCTCTATATTCCTTTACTTTCTCAATTTTAAATTGTAATAATTATAGTGCTTACAAAATCAGATTGTTAACATTGTTGCTATACCTAAGATACTGCAAACATTACTTGGCACAGAGTAAGTTTTATAAAGCGTTAGCTTTCTATGCAGTGCTTAGTCACTCAGTCCTGTCTGACTCTTTGTAACCCCGTGGACTGCAGCCAGCCAGGCTCCTCTATCCATGGGGATTCTCCAGGCAAGAATACTGGAGTGGGTTGCCATCTCCTTCTCCAATGCATGCACACATGCTAAGTCGCTTCAGTCATGTCTGTCTCTGTGAGACCCCATGGACAGCAGCCCACCAGGCTCCTCTGTCCACAGGATTCTCCAGGCAAGAATACTGGAGTGGCTTGCCACTTCCTTCTCCAAGTAATGGTGAAAAAATATACAAATGGCCCAGCAGTCCCACTCCTGGGCATATACTCAGAGAAAACCATAGTTCAAAAAGATACATGCACCTCTCTTTTTATAGCAGCACTGTTTACAATAGCCTGGACATAGAAGCAGCCTAAATGTCCATCAACAGAGGACTGGATAAAGATGATGTGATACAGATATGCAATGAAATATTACTCATTCATAAAAAGGAATGACATTAGATCATTGGTAGAGAAAAAGATGAACCTATAGTATCATACAGAGTGAAGTAAGTCTGAAAGAGAAAAGCAAATATAATATATTAATGTATATATGTGTAATCTAGAAAAATGGTATTGATCATCTTATTTGCAAAGCAGAAATAGAGACACTGACTTAGAGAACAAATATATGGATACCAAGGGGGCAGGAGGGGTGAAAGTGCTGGGGATATTGGGACTGGCACCTGTATACTACTGATACTGTGTATGAAATAGATAACTAATGAGAACACGCCGGATAGGACAAGGTACTCAGGGCACGGGGATGACCTGGAGGGGACAGAAGGCCAAAGGGGAGTGGGTATGTGTGTCCGTGTGGGGCACAGCAGAAACGAATACAGCACTCTAAAGCAACTATACTCCAAAAAAAGAGGTTTTCAAAAAAAGAATAGACAAATTGTGACCCCCCCCCCACACTGTTGGTGGGAATGTAAATTGGAATAGCAACTGTGGCGAACAGTATGGAGGTTCCTTAGAAAACTAAAAATAGAGGCACCATATAATCCACCAATCCCACTCCTGGGTATATATGCAGAGAGAAACATGATTTGAAAGGATACATGCCCCTCAGTGTTCATAGTAGAGCTGTATAAAATAGCTAAGTCATGGAAGCAACCTAAATGTTCATCAACAGATGAAATGATAAAGATGATGTGGTCCATATATACAATGGAATATTACTCAGTATAAAAAGAAATGAAATATGCCATGTGAAGCATCATGAATGGTTTTAGAGATTATTATACTAAGTGAAATAAGCAATACAGAGAAAAACAAATATCATATGATACTGCATATGTTTGGAATCTTAAAAAAAAATGATACAAATGAATATATTTACAAAACAGGAATGGATTCACAGATATAGAAACAACTTTATGGTTACCAAAGGGGAAAGGGATAAATTAGGAGTTGGGGATTCAAATATACACACTACTATATATAAAATGGGCTTAACAAGTGGCTCAGTGATAAAGGGTCCAGCTACCAATGCAGGAGATGAAGATTTGAACCCTGGATTGGGAAGATACCTTAGAGAAGAAGATGGCAACCAACTCCTGTCCTGGGAAATCCCATGGACAGAGGAGCCTGGGGACTTACAGTCCATGGGATAGCAAAAGAGTTGGCCATGACTTAGCAACCAAACAAAAATAACAATATATACAAAATAGATAACCAACAAAACCTACTGAATAGCACAGGGTACTATACTCAATATCTTGTAATAACCTATAATGACAGAGAATGTACAAAAAGAATATTTATGTATATATAATAAAATCACTTTGTTGTACACTTGAAAGTAACAAAACATTGTAAATCAACTATATTTCCATTTTTTAAAAATCTAAAGTTTGTTTTTTAAAAAAGAATGATGCTTAACTGGGGCTAAGAAAGTAATAATATTTAATTATATTGAGAATATATCTAACCTTATTATTGAAGCTTTTAAAATCAAGAATAACTGCTGAGTTTTTAAAAATTAGGTTTATGGACAATAGAATGGGAAAGACTAGAAATCTTTTCAAGAAAATTGCAGATACCAAGGGAAAATTTCATGCGAAGATGAGCACAATAAAGGGAAGAAACATCAATGATCTAACCAAAGCAGAAGATTAAGAAGAGGTGGCAAAAAATACACAGAAGGACTACACAAAAAAGTCTTAATGACCCAGATAACTACAATGGTATGGTCACACACCTAGAGCCAGACATCCTGGACTGTGAAGTCAAGTGGGCCATAGGAACCACTACTACAAAGCTAATAGAGGTGATGGAATTCTAGCTGAGCTATTTCAAATCCTAAAAGACAATGCTGTGAAAGTGCTGCACTCATCACGTCAACAAATTTGGAAAACTCAGCAGTGGCCACAGGACTGGAAAAGGTCAGTTTTCATTCCAATCCCAAAGAAGGGCAATGCCAAAGAATGTTGAAACTGCCACACAATTGCATTCATTTCACATGCTACCAAGGTAATGTGTAAGCCAAGAACTTCCAGATGTACAATCTGGGTTTACAAAAGGCTGAGGAACCAGAGATCAAATTGCCATCATCCACTGGATCATGGAAAAAGCAAAGGGAATGCAAAAAAAAAGAAGAAGAAAATCTACTTCTGTTTCATTGACTATGCTAAAGTCTTTGACTGTATGGATAACAAGAAACTGGAAAGTTCTTAAAGAGATGGAGATACCAGACCACCTTACCTGCCTCATGAAGAGCCTGTATGCAGGCCAAGAAGCAACAGTTAGAACCAGGCATGGAATAATGGACTGTTTCAAATTGGGAAAGGAGTATGTCAAGGCTGTATATGGTCATCCCGCTTATTTAACCTCTGTGCATAGTACATCATTCGAAATGCTGAGCTGGATGGAGCACAAACTGGAATCAAGACAGTCAGGAGAAATATTAATAACCCTATATATGCAAATGACACCACCCTTACAGCAGAAAGCAAAGAGGAAATAAAGAGCCTCTTGATGAAAGTGAAAGAGGAGAGTAAAAAAGTTGGCTTAAAATTCAACATTCAAAAAACTAAGATATTGGCATCTGGTCCCATCACTTCATGGCAAATAGATGGGGAAACAGTGAAAACAGTGACAGACTCATTTTTTTTTTACTCCAAAATCACTGTGGATGGTGACTGCAGCAATGAAATTAAAAGACCCTTGCTCCTTAGGAGAAAAGACATGACCAACCTAGACAGCATATTAAAAAAGCAGAGACATCACTTTGCCAACAAAGCTGTGTACAGTCAAAGCTATGGTTTTTCCATTAGTCATGTACAGTTTTGAGAGTTGGATCATAAAGAAGGCAGAATGTAGAAGAATTGATGATTTCGAACTGTGGAGTTAGAGAAGACTCTTGATAGTCCCTTGAACTGCAAGGAGATAAAACAAGTCAATCCTAAAGGAAATCAACCTTGAATATTCATTGAAAGAACTGATGCTGAAGCTCCAATACCTTGGCCAAATGATGTGAAGAACCAAATCATTAGAAGACCTTGACGCTTGGAAAGATTTAGTGCAGGAAGAGAAGGGGGAGATAGAGTATGAGATGGTTGGATGGCATCATTGATTCAATGGACTTGAGTTTGAGCAAACTTTGGGAGATAGTGAAACACAGGGAAGCTTGACGTGCTGCAGTTCATGTGATCGCAAAGAATCGGACAGGACTTTGTGACTGAACAACAACATCTGAAGTATAATATCCATAGATTAGAAGAAGGAAATGGTAGCCCACTCCAGTATTCTTGTCTGGAGACTTCTGTGGATGGAGGAGCCTGGTGGGCTGCTGTCCATAGGGTCGAACAGAGTTGGACATGATTGAGGCAACTTAGCATGCCTGCATGCATTGGAGAAGGAAATGGCAACGCACTCCAGTATTCTTGCCTGGAGAATCCCAGGGATGGAGGAGCCTGGTGGGTTGCCGTCTATGGGGTTGCATGGAGTCAGACATAACTGAAGCGACTTAGCAGCAGCAGCAGCAGCATCCATAGATTAAAATTCCTAATTCTTTATAGGACTCAGAGAATTTTGAGAAATGTATACAGCTTGCTAATTACGAACACATTAAAGATGTGGAATATTCTCAACACCACAAACAGTTCTCTTGTGACACTTGATAATTTCCCCAACATGCCTACCACCTGGCAATCAATGATCTGACGTTTTTACCCACAGTTTTACTTTATCCAGAACAAATGGAATTATACTGCATATAGTGGATACTTTTGAAGTACATTCCTATAATTTTATTTATGAATTGTTGCTGTTCAGCCGCTCAGTCATTTCTGACTCTTTTTGACCCCATGGACTGCAGCATGTCAGGCTTCCTTGTCCTTCGTGTCTCCAAAGCTCTTTTTTTTTTGTTTTTGAGGAACCCATTGTGTGGTTGTACCACAATTTATCTATTCTCCAGTTGAAAAATATTTGGAATGTATCCAGATTCCAGCTTGTTATAAATAACCTACAAATATCTGTGTATAATTATGCTTTCCTTTTGAAGGGTAAATATTTAAGAATAAAAAATATGAGTTGTACGGTAAGTGCATGTGTAACTACTAGAATTTTCCCAACTGTTTTCTCAAGTGACTATATCACTTTGCATTCACACCAACAATGTATGAGAATTATAGTTAGTGTATTTCTGCCAAAAAGAGACTAGACAAACAGATACATTACATGGAATACAGAACCCAGAAATATACCAACACAAATAGAGTTAGCTGATCTTTAACAAATGAGCAGACAATTCACTGGAAAAAGGAATGTCTGTCAACAAGTGGCACTGGAATGACAGGACATACGCATGCACACTTAGTGATAAGTTTCTAAATAAAACACCAAGCATAATCCATGAAAGAAGAAAATGGCAATTTGGACTTAATTAAAATTAAAATCCCTACTCTTCAAAGACATTGTTAAGAGAATGAAAAGACTAACCATAGGCAGAAATAAAATATTTACAAAATACATATCTAAAAACTGACTTCCCTGGTGGATCAGACCCAGTAAGGAGTCTGCCTGCAACACAGGAGACCCCGGTTCAATCCCTGGGTTGGGAAGAGCCCCTGGAGAAGGAAATGGCAACCCATTTCAGTACTCTTGCCTGAAAAATCCAATGGACAGAGGAGCCTGGCAGGCTACAGTCCATGGGGTCACAAAGAGTCAGACATGACTGAGCGACTTCACTTCACTTCAAAAACTGACTTGTATCTAAAAAATTCAAAATACACTTAAATTTCAACAATAAGAAATAACAAGCCAATTTTAAACAGTGCAAAAGATCTGTACACATGCCTAGCCAAAGCAGATATAGATATGGGAAACAAACATATGAAAGGATCCTCAACATAATAGATAATTAAGGGACTGCAAGTTAAAATAATAATGAGATACCATATTAGAATGGCTAAAATCTGAAAAACTGACACTACCAAATGCTGACTAGGATATGGAGGTTAGGAATACTCTCTTATTGCCAGTTGGAATAGAAAATGGTATAGCATTTTAGAAGACAGTTTGACAGATCCTTAAAAATCTAAACATAGTCTTATCATACAACCAGGAATTATTCTCTTAAGTATTTTACCAAATAAGCAGAGAATAGATGTCCACCCAAAAGTATGTATGCAAATATCGAGAGTAGTTTTATGTTAATTGCCAAAACTTGGAAGTAGCCAAGATGTCCTTCACTGAGTGAACTGATAAATCAACTGTAGTACACCGCAGTTCATACACTGGAATATTTTTCAACAGTACAAAAGGAACGAGTCAATTGTCAATTCCCCAAACTACTAAGAAAATGTATTATAAAGACCAAAAACAAGTTATTAAAATTATAATGACACTGCACAGCTATTAGAATGTCTAAAGACTGACTGTATCAAGGGTCATTGAGTATATACAGAGGAGGGGGAACAACACACTCGCTGGAAAATGAATGGTACAACCACTTTGGAAAACAATCTGCCAGCTTCTGGCAGTTTCCCTAAAAGTTAAATATGCAGGTGTCATACCATTTAAGCTGATAAAGAAATTGTGGTACATCCAAACAATGAAATACTACTCAACAATAAAAAGTACAACTGTCAATATATGTAACCATGTGGATGCACTGCCAAATGACTGTGATAAGTAAAATAATCCAGACAAAAAAGAATACATGTTATATTATACACTTTACGTTACATTCCAAATATGCAAACTAATCTATAGTGACAAGCAAGATCAGTTGTTGTCTGGGGTGGAGAGGGGGTGGAATAGAGGGATTATAAATTAGTCAAGATAAACTTTCCAATTGATGGATTTGCTCACTTCTTGAAACAGTCACAGTTTGATGACTGTATTCATATTTATCAAATGATGCTATTTAATATGTTAAATTTACTATATGTCAGACTCAATAAAAATTAGGAAAATAAAACATTTTATAAAAACAGGTCAAGAGGGAACTAGAGGAAAAGTTCTCTAAAATAGGTTCAGATAGCCAAATAATTCTTTTCGTACAATACATTACAGACAGTCACAGCCTTTCCCCATAACTAAGATTCCATTTAATTCTATGGGCATTTATTTTCTATATTGCTTAGTCTTCCCTAAGTGCCAGATGCCATGCTAATGGCTGAGAGTTTAAAGACGCAGGAGAGATACTATGGGGTATTTTAGCACAGTGGTTGTTAGGGCTGGATTTATTGTACACTGACCTGGGTTCACCCTTCCCTCCTAAATGATCATATGCCAAATACTCAAATTATCTAAGCTTCTGTTTCCTCTAGTGAAAATAAGATTAAATGGGATAATGTATATCGCATTCTAACTAATGCATGTGGAACAATAGTGTTCAATCAATTCCTACTATTGCCGTATTAATATTAAAATAAAAACAGTGCTTTTGAGCATATCATCAAGACTCGAGAAATAAAAGAACAAACTGATTTGCAGAACATTGAAAAGCTTTTAAGAAGCTTATTTCTTCTCACAGAAGGTGTACTAATTTGTCAGCCTAAAAATACACTATCTGGAAACCTTCCTCCGTTAGTATACTATTTTTCGGTGGCTAAAGAAACCCAAGATTCCTTTAAAATGTCAGAATGGTACACATGACACCAACTAGTGTTGTCTCAGTTAGCAAACTGCAATTCAATTATCCACATGCAAGATGAAGAAAAGAAAATTCCAGAACCCATTTTAAAGGCCTTCTGTCAGCTGCAGCAAAGATCACCTGCTGTTTGAGAGTTGTGTTCAGCCAAAACAGCTAATATACTTTCAAATATCTTTGTTTTTTTCCATTTCAGTTGGGACATAGAATGTCACTCCGGGCAGTCTTCAGAGCTTCTCAACAATATCTGAACTCTGAAACATGAAGGGATTGTATTTCTGATCATCACCTGTGAGACAGAAGGTGCGCAGGGTAAAAGAACAAATGGAAGAATAAAATACCTCTATAAAGCATGCTGTTCCTTCTAGAACATCAGCAGGAGGGACAGGTACTGAGCAGGACTTGGGCATGGCTGCCATGCAGAGCCCATTACTGCTGAGGATGTATTTCCATGGCCCAAAAGAGGCCAAGATGTTTTGTAGATGTAAATGAATCTTGAAAATGTCTGTGCCAGAGGAAACTCTTCTCAAGCACCTAAGCTCCTTGAAGCCAAGGTCTAGGAGTGTTTCAAAAGGGCAGATAATAATTTGATATTTTGAGGCTAGATCACTCCCTGCCTCCCCCACCGGCCCAAGTCACTGTGTGCATACACAGTCATGTCTGACTCCTTGTGACCCCACTGATTGTAACCACCAGGCTCCTCTGTTCACGGGATTTTCCAGGCAACAATACTGGAGTGAGTTGCCATTTCCTCCTCCAGGAGATTTAGTCACTGGTCGAACACAAACAGCTCCTGGAATTCTACTTGTTAAAGTTTTAAAACCCGTGAATTGGGCTAGTAAGCTGGTCAAGGGAATGCATTAGCTGACATTTGAAACTTAAAGAGGGAACAGTTGAAAGTGTGGAGGGTTTGGATGGTTACCACTAAACTGCACTGATGCTGCAGAGAAAGAGAATGGAATGCTGAAGCCACTTATCAAACATTTTAAAGTCAAGTATGAAAGCCAGAGGACCCTTTTCGCAGCATGCAGAGCCCTCATCTGCTGTATCAGGATCACAGACACTAAACCAAGCCCAGGATATAACGGTCTCAGGGGGTGAGCTTCAGAAGGTTCAGTGCTCCAGCCAGCTAAGCCTTTTAAGTCAAGATCAGAGTCCTGACTGGGAAATCCTCGGAGTCTGACATACAGAATAGAGACATCCGGGAGACATTCTGAGATTCTAGGCTCCATAGACTCCACAGAGCCTTCTGAGCTGACAGGGTGACTGACCTCTCTTCAGAGTTGGCAGTCCCTTCATGGCTGCGTAACACAAAGGCCTCTCCCCATCAAGGCAACCACTTCCCCCAAGGGTCTGTCCCACCTTCCTTCCCGACAAGCTCGGCACCTAGATGGGCTTGAGTCACGGCATAGACTAGCTGGGGACACACCTGGCCTGTAAGGAAGGAAATCTCATATATCCCTAAGGAACTACAAGGCCCATTTTGCATGGACCTGCGGAAGCTGCAGGAATACTCATAGAAATAGATTCTAAGAGTGCATTTTCAAAGGGTCCAAACAACAACAACAAAAACAGACAGGAAAGCATTTATACATTTGCAAGCAGTCTCCAAGATACAGGATTTTAAACCAATGAAGATTTTAGGGGACAGTTCCTCATAACATGGAAAAGAAGTTTAGAACTGGTCTGTGTTAAGCAATGTTGAATTGCCCTGGCAGATGGTGAAAGAAAAAATTAGAAGGCTCAGATAACTGGGCATTCTTGAATAAATATACTCTATGTATTTGGAACACTCATCAGATGATTTTCTTTCACAGGAAGACCCAAAGTCAAGTGCTGTTGGAAAGAGGCATAAAAAGTGAGCTAAAGAGTGAACTGACAGTTCTTTTCTAACTATAGAAGCTGAAGGTAAGAGAGGGGTTTCCAGAACTTGGCTTGCTAATATTAAGTGGGATCACAGACTAATGGTAGAAGCCAAGTAGCTGATTTGAAGGCTGTAAGCAAGTCTCTTATTGATTGATAATGGAGCAGCTGCAGCCAAAGAGAGCTGACATCTAGAATGTTATCAAACAGGCAAACAGAACCATAGCAATCTCAGGGGGAAAGTGGATGGGCATCCACCAAGAATACCACTCAGCTCTCCAGGGATGATGGAGAGGCTGAGACCAGTCACTCCTATAAGAAGTCTTGACACCTGACCCAGTGTACAGACTAGTCAGGTTTTACACCTAGAACTCTTCTAGAATCAAAATGCGTTCACATCTAGTAACCTTTGCATCCTCCCCAAAAGAAGGATTCTGCAATACCACCACCAAAAGTGATCATGTTTCCTCAGCTCTTCCCCCAAACCACACATGGCCATTTAGTTATTTTTCTACTGTATTTCAGGAAGAACAAAACACCCATATATTTCAAGGAATATTAGAAACAGAATGTGAGTTCATTTTAACGTCCAGGTAAGCCAAGTGTTACCTGGGCTCTGATGCTGCAGTGGACAGTACATGGGAATAAACAGAATGGTGAGCATAGAATCCTGGCCAAGATTTGATGTATGATGGGTGTTCTGAGCCTGGGGACTCACTCAAGCTTCTGCAGTTCCTGAATGTGGGCCGGGGACTGACATACTTGGCAGTTGATGCGGTTTCCACATTGAGTCCTTGGCATGTGAAGTAAGAGCTGCTGTAGTGGAAAACACAAGTGGAAGCCTCTGAAATTTCCCCCAGATTGCTAAAACAGTAAATCAGAAGCAATGTTACATTCTAGACTGGAATGGAAGCAATTAGTGCCACACTTAAAGATCTTAAGGATTTTCATCATATTAATCCATTTTCATTACTTTTGATTGCTGCTATATTTAGACCTTCTTTTAAGATCTTATTTTGTTTCCCGTCTTCTTCCCTGATTCTGTTTCTCCCCTTTTCTTCCTTTTGAGAAAAAAAAAAAAATGCTATTTTCTAAAGTACCCGATGTTCTGGAAATATAAATTTAATTTCTAATATTTTAATGCATGTCTCTTGATTTTTAACCTGCATACTTATTTTTTTGAAGTAAAAAACCACTCAAACTATTTCTCAAGATAAAGCTGTTAGCTTCTTTTTGTCACCTGCTAAATATACTATTTTATTTTTTTGCTTAGTTTTAGCTTTATCTTTTCACAAAGTATTTTTATAGTCAAGAATAAATTAAACTCACCAAAAGATTGTTAACTATCATGTTGCTCTGATATTCTGTAATTTTGTATATCCTACATCCTCTATCTTCATTTTCCTTTTCACTGTAGTATATTTTAAAAGAATTCTTCAACCAATTTCTTGGTTATTCAGATATCACAGTATATCTTTAATTTATTCTTATACTCGGTAATTTAACTGGGCATGCACTTCAAGGTTATCTTCCCACAAAACTTTGAAAATATCATTTTATTGCTTTCCAGCATCTGTTGTTGCTAAAGAGAATGTTATTGTTGGTTTAATTTTCACTTATTTTGTCAATCACCTGGCAGCTTTTGAAATGGTCTCTTTAATCTTGATAGTCTGCAGTTCAACTGTGCTATGTTTAAGTCAAGTTTGTTTCTGTGTTTTTAATTCTTTGTCTTACTCAGAACTCCAGGAGATATGTTAAACTGAAGATCTAACTTTCTTTAATATTTGAAAATTCTCAGCTCTTGTTTCTTCAAATACTGCTTTTTCTCTTTTTCAGTTCCTATTTTTGGATCTCTTAGAATCTTGATATATCTTCCATGACTCTCATTTACTGTCTGTCCCTTTTATCAGTGATATGTAGTAGGGTGACTGCATTAGTAACATTTTCCTATTTCCTATTTTCTGTTTTACATCCAGTCCAGGGCTTTCCCTTCCTCTTGCTATTTTTTAAAATTTGTTTTAATGAATATATTCATTAAAATAAAAATTTTAATGAATATATTCATTAAAGTAAAAATTTTAATGACTGTATTTTTATTTTAATGAATATATATCAGCATTAATGGTTTAATGTTGCTATACTTATTTTGTGATCTCTCCTACCTACCTTTTCTTGTTTCATTTCTATTTTGCTTCACATTTTTTCTACATATGTTATTTGTAAAGTGTTTTGAACACTCTATATCTGCTCCTTTTAAGTGTTATTAGACTGTTGTATAAAATCAATTTTGTTTCAAGTAAAATTATCTTTCAGTTGTTGATTCTGCTTTATTTAGTATGCTCTTTCTTCATCTTTCCCCCATGTTAATTTACCAAGTTAAGATATCGATTTAGCAGCGTGAGACCCTCTGTCTTCATGAGGGTTTGTAGGGATTTACTCTGAAAAGGAAGGGCTTTCCCCCTCCCATCTTTCTTGCTCTTTCCCCTCATTTCCTGACATCCTTCTCTGTCGGGTACTTTTAATTATCTCCAGCACCTCTACCTCCCCAGATTCTAAGTTAAGAAACAGATCTTAAAATAAGGATTTAGACTGACTTTTACAAAGTTTGAGTCTACAGCACATCCAACAGGGAACCAATATCTGCTTTAAAAGTAGTGTATCTGGGCCCCTCAGTGTCACTAGGCCCACACTTCTATATAAAACCTAAATCTTGGCAGTGTTTATAGGACATCAGTTTGCCTTCCTTTTCTTTGATGGGGAGGGGTGGTGGTCCTCACTAAGGCACCGGTTTCAGGAGTGACTCAGGTCTATTTCCACATCAAAAGGGCTGTTTTTCATCCCAATTACCACCTGGAGGTGAATTCCAGACACCATTGTCCACCTGCAGACCTGGGGCCAAGTGGTCTACAGTTTCACATTTACTCCTAAACTTCCTTTATCTTTTCCATTTTTGGTACAAAGTGCAATTCATAAAATAAAAATATTACTAAAAATTTTTGTTTTCTTCTCAATAATATCCATTTGTAGGGAAAATAAATTTGTATGCATCAGTGATATTTTGATTAATTTAAAATAGAAATGACTTTTCTCCCCTCCCTTCTTTTATTTGTATCACAACATACCCAACTTTTTATAATATCAGGGACTTAAGAATTATAATGCATTAGGAAAAATGAGCAATGTTTAATAGATTAACTCTGATGGAATGGTGAAAAACTGAAGGAAAAAATAATCTTTCATATATTATTGTGATTTTCCAGTATATATTCTGACTTTACTGTTTAGCATTTAGTATGCAGTTTTTTCCAGAAATAACAAGTATTCATATTACGATGTGTTTTCTTCTGTACACTTACAAACATAATTCATTTTTGAAGTATAGTTGATTTACAATATTAAATTAGTTCTAGATGTATAACATAGCATTTCAAAATTTTATTGGTCATACTCCATTTAAAGTTACTACAAAATATTAGCTATATTCCCTGTGCTGTACACTATATCCTTGTAGTATATTTATTTTACACATGGGAATCTAATTTCTAATAGAGTGATAGTTTACAAAGAAAGAGCAGACGGAAGATTTAACTCTCTGAACATTAAGAGGATCTGTCTAGGTTTAGTGTATCAAACCAGATGATTTCCACCCCCCAAAAAGAAAGAGCAAACAGAAATTAGGAAGTTGACCCTATGAACAAAACCTAAGGAATGTGAAACGCAAATTCCCTGGACTAAAGATGACCTAATAAAAGGAGGACTGATAAAAGATAGTTAGATATATGGAGTCAAATATCTATTTCTCTATAAACAACAATCAGAATGAGGGCAGGGAAGGAAGGAAGCAAGGAGGGAGGGAGGGAAGGAAAGAAAAGAAAGAAAGAGAGGGATGAAGACAGGGAGAGGTGGAAGAAGGAAAGGAAAAAAAGAAGAGAGGAGAAAGAGAGAAAGAGAGACAATGCATGAAGGATAGGATGGGAATTTAGTGAACACACAAAACTCCTTGATTCTAAAGATTGTAAGCTATGAATGCAAAATCTTGGGTCACTGGGGACTATTCAGCAAAGTGTAAACAGCTCTCTTTCTGAGCCAGTTTAAATATACTTAAATGGCAGCCTTAGCTGACAACTTGACTTCCTGAAGTTCCCTCTAGCTTAGTCATTCTCTCTCATGTCTTAGAGCTAGACGGAGTGCCTCATAAAAGTTCTTTCAACTTCTGTATATTCTCGGCCTGAAAGTTGGAGCAAGTTCTGCTGAGATTTGCATTTCCGTATTACTGATCTAAGAGGTTTGTGAGCACACATAAACCTTTGGATACTGATTGGAATTGCACTCAAGAGCTTCTTGGGTTGTCTGCTACTTAATTAGACCTTCCACACAGGGAAAGAGCAATGAGCTGGTGTCCCATCTCCAGCAGATGCTTGTGCCAGATGTGCAGAGAAACACACACTCCATTTCCTATAATATTCTCTGTTGTTCATTTTTATACTGTAGCAAAGAAGCCTGAGAATACTGCTAGAATTTACGATGAAAACAAAAAATGTAAACACTGAAAGAGCTAATCTCTATTTAAATATTTTTGCTGTGTATGCTTTTAATGTATATTCTCTCTTCTCTATTGTTCTAGTGCTTATATTTTAACTTCTACACAGTCATTTTTGATGATTCTAAATTGGACTTCCTGTGCACCAAAAAGAGACCTGATTATCCCCAAATCCCAGAGCACTGGATGATGCCTGAAATTCTGCAGTCAGGAAATCTAGTCACCTTAGGGCAGGCTTTGATAAAATGTGATGTTGAGAGCATTGATCCTGATGTAGCGGAGAAACAGAGAAGAAAAGAACATTCCTGAGGAAATGTAAAGATTTTAAAGAAAAAATAAACTAATAATAAATTTTATCCATTGTGGTATTTTGCTAAAGGCAGTCTCTTTAAAGCTTCTCATAAAGGCATTAGAGGGAAGAACTCAACCAGGATATCCAGTCAGGCAGCAAGTTTCACTTACTTAGAATTACTACAGATTTTGCCATTAAAAATACCAATAATATTATTCTTTGTTATCTGATACCTTACTACACTGATAAAAGAATACATTTGAGAATGTTTTTCTAGAATTAGTTGAGCCTGCATTCAGGGGACTCTTGGAATTGCAGTCATATTCCTACTTTATATAGAATGAGGTATAAGAGAGGGAGTATAGGTTTTAAAGGTAAATAATATAATTGATCCTTTTGAACTGTGGTGTTGGAGAAGACTCTTGAGAGTCCCTTGGACTGCAAGGAGATCCAACTGGTCCATCCTAGAGGAGATCAGTCCTGGGTGTTCATTGGAAGGACTGATGCTGAAGCTGAAACTCCAATACTTTGGCCACCTGACGTGAAGAAGTAACTCATTGGAAAAGACCCTGATGCTGGGAGGGATTGGGGGCAGGAGGAGAAGGGGACGACAGAGGATGAGATGGCTGGATGGCATCACCGACTCGATGGACATGAGTTTGAGTAAACTCCGGGAGTTGGTGATGGACAGGGAGGCCTGGCATGCTGCGATTCATGGGGTTGCAAAGAGTCGGACATGACTGAGCAACTGAACTGAACTGAATATAATTTTTATCAGTTACTATTCTATGTCACAGTCTCTGAGCTCCGGTGCGACACAGAGAGTTTACAATTGCTAACATACAGAGTCATTAAGTTCACATGATAAAAATATGCAAAGCATTGCATAGAGCTTAGTGCCTGTTTGGTGTCCAGTAAATGTTAGTTTCCAACATTCTCTGACATAACTGCATAAAGATCTGTTTTGATCCACTTCTGAGAATAATGAAAATTTTTAAAAAATCAACAAATGGGACCAAATTTAACTTAAAAGCATTTTCACAGCAAAGGAAACCATCAGCAGAACAGAAAGGTAACCCACAGAATAAAAGAAAATATTTGCAAATGAAGTGGTTGACAAGGGATTAATTTGCAAAATATGCAGACAGCACATGCAGCTCAATATAAAAAAAAAAACCTGATTCAAAAAATGAGTGGAAGATATAAACAGACATTTCTCTGAAGAAGACATAGATGGCCAAGAGGCACATGAAAAGATGTTCAACATCATTAATTATTAGAAAAATGCAAATCAAAATTACAAAGAGATATCACCTCTCACTGGTTAGAACAGCCATCATCAAAAATTCTACAAACAATGGGACTTGCCTGGTGGTCAAGAGAAAACCCTAATTCCAAAAGATAGATGCACCCCAATGTTCACTGCAGGACTATTTACAATAACCAGGACATGGAAGCAACTTAAATATCCATCAACAGAGGAATGGATAAAGAAGATGTGGTACACCTATACAATGGGATATTACTCAGCCATAAGATAGAATGAAATAATGCATTTGTAGCAACATGGATGGACCTAGAAATTGTCATACTGAGTGAAATAAGTCAGACAGAGAAAGATAAGTATCATATATCACATATATCACTTATATGTGAAATCTTAAAGAAAAATGGTACAAACTTACTTACAACTTACTTAAAAAACAGAAATGGAGTCAAAGATATAGAAAACAGACACGGTTACTAAGCAGGAAAGATAGGGGTAAATTGGGAGATTCAGATATGATATATACACACTACTATATAGAAAAGATAACTATTAAGAACCTAATTATAGCACAGGGAACTCTATTCCATGCTCTGTAACAACTAGAATATTGCGGTGTGTTGCCATTCCCTTCTCCAGGGGATCTTCCCGACCCAGGGATCAAACCCGGCTCTCCTGCAATACAGGTGGATTCTCTACTGATAGGACGCATCCTTTATGTCCCCTCATGGGCTTCCCTGGTAGCTCAGCTGTAAAGAATCTGCCTACAATGCAGGAGACCTGGGTTCGATCCCTGGGTTGGGAAGAGCCCCTGGAGGAGGGCATGGCAACCCACCCCAGTATTCTTGCCTGGAGAATCCCCATGGACAAAAGAGTCTGGCAGGCTACAATCCATGGGGTCACAAAGAGTCAGACATGACTGAGTAACTAAGCACATTTGTTGTATGATAAATATCAGCTAATGATTATCTTGCCTTTGGATTCTTAGATAAAACTATCTCACTCTTTTCTATCACAGTTTATGTAAAATCTAATGCCTTGTCAAAAATTTCAGCAAATTTCCAAAAACTTACATTCATGGTTGTATTTGGACACTAGTTTCTGCCCCAGGGAACTCTCATATTCCCTTACTTTCCAATTTCTGCAGCTATATGTTTCTCCCAACTTGATGTGGATTCCTATATGAAAAAACTTCTTATCCTTGACTTCTACCAAAAATTTACATAAGCAACAGAGATAATACCACAGAGATGGAAGAACTTAGAACAATACATACCACTGTCCCTACACTTTCATTGCCTCTCTAGCATGGGAAATTTCTTACTGGACATCCTTTTCCCCAGGTTCAGCCCCTAATCAAATTGCTTTGCCTTTTCTTCCAACTGTTTCCCTTCATTATTTTCATATTTACCCCCACCACTAATTTCCATTCATCTCTTGGGTGTCCATCCTGTATTTTCCCAGCTTGCTTCTTCAGAAGCTTTTTCTGTCTCTGTTAACTTAGTAGAGCACATTCAGTTTCTTCACCAAGAACAGCCTAGATTCCCCACTATTAAACTATATTTTTTATATCACTGTAAGAGTGCTGGATACACTTACTGAAAGTGAGTATTTTGAATGACAGTTCTTTTGTACATTCTTTTTGTAAATGACTGAAATATAAAGGTGAACTGTCCTTCCACAGGATATCAAAACAAGCTTCATTTATTTTTTTTCCTGTTTTTGTTGTTGTTCTATAGTGAACCAGTTTTAGCATTCACATATCATCGCTTTTAAACTGTACACTGAACCTCTGTGCAAGAATAAACAAACATATTATTATAGTCAAAACAAGTCTCTCTAAAGAGGAGGAAGAAAGGTAGGGGAAGGGTCAAAGGCAAAGTCAAGGCCAAGGGTAAGTCCAAACACCTAGTGTGAGGCCAAGTTCAAAGTCAACCTCATGTTCAATTTCAAGGTCAAAGTCAAGGTCAAGTCCTTTTCTTTGTTTTAATAATTGCTCCAAGTGATTCTGTTGCATGCTGAAGTTAGCAAAGCACTACTATAATGAACAAACTTTCACTGTATCCTCTTCTTTTTTTAAAGAATTGGAGTTTAGTTGCTTTACAATGTTGTGTTAAGTTTCTGCTTGCTATACAACATGGATCAGGTTAAGTTTACATAAACATATTGGCTTGATATTGGTTGACAAGCTTGGGACAGGGCTTGGAATATTTGCTTGGTCAGGAGGGCATGTCATAATTTTTGGAAGTTCCTCTTATTCCTTTAATAGCAAACAAATTGACACAATAATCCTGAATCTCTCTAGTCCTTAGTATATGAAAAGATCTGGCACAAGTACACTGAAGTAAATTTATATAATGGCGAAATACTATAGGTTGCTTCCTTTCATGAGAAATATTCAGAATAATCTAGACTATCCTGTATACCAAGTCTGTAAAACAGAAAGCATTATTCATTTTTAGCAGGAAGTGTTTGATACTGAAATAATTTCTTCTAGTTGAACATTTCTTTTTTCTCATGATTTCTATCTAAAGATTTCCACACTTGTAAAAGTAAATATTGTTAAAAGAGGAGACTAAAATTTATTTAGGGAAGTGCTTTACACCTTAGGATTGTGTATGTGGGGATTCTCTGTTCAAAACTGTCACTAAAATATACAAATAAAAAAACAACATGGTATATAGATCTTAAGGCAATATTGCAGATCATAAAGTTGTTTAATCCATCCTTCTTGTCTAAAAACTACTCTAAGAAGCTGAAAGGCTCAAAATCAATTAAAAACAAAAACAAAAAACTTCACATTCTGAATGTCACATACTCAGTGATGTATTTTTCCTTTCATTCTATAGTTAATCATTCTGTTAGAAACCCACTATGATTGAATATTATTATAGGTTAGTCTTAACTTCTTTTTTAAAATGTATTTTATTATTAAAGTACAGTTGTGTGATCTGGCACATGAACACTGAAGTAAATTTATATAATGGAGAAATACTATAGGTTGCTTCCTTTCATGAGAAATATTCAGAATAATCTAGACTATCCTGTATACCAAGTCTGTAAAACAGAAAGCATTATTCATTTTTAGCAGGAAGTTTCTTTTTGATACTGAAATAATTTCTTCTAGTTGAACATTTCTTTTTTCTCATGACTTCTTTCTAAAGATTTCCACACTTGTAAATATTTTTAAAAGAGGAGACTAAAATTTATTTAGGGAAGTGTGTTACACCTTAGGATTGTGTATGTGGGGATTCTCTGTTCAAAACTGTCACTAAAATATACAAATAAAAAAACAACATGGTATATAGATCTTAAGACAATATTGCAGATCGTAAAGTTGTTTAATCCATCCTTCTTGTCTAAAAACTACTCTAAGAAGCTGAAAGTCTCAAAATCAATTAAAAACAAAAACAAAAAACTTCACATTCTGAATATCACATACTCAGTGATGTATTTTTCCTTTCATTCTATAGTTAATCATTCTATTAGAAACCCACTATGATTGAATATTATTATAGGTTAGTCTTAACTTCTATTTTAAAATGTATTTTATTATTAAAGTACAGTTGTGCTAGGTTCAGGTGTTCAACAAAATAATTCTGTTATATACATGTGTATAGATACACACTCACACATAAATCTATATGTATATATATTCTTTTTTATGTTTCTTTTCTCATATAGGTTATTACAAAATACTGAGGGCAACAATAT